TTTCGAAAAAAATTGAAAAGAGTTTAAATAAACAAATAAATTGTCAAATAATAAGATTTTTTTTAAAAAAAAAAGTTTCAAAAAAGAGACAAAATTTCGAAACCCAAAAAAAAATTTTCTTTTTTTTTTTTTAATAAGGTTCATTTTTACAAAGAAAAAGAAAGTAATATAATAAGTATTTAATTTGTTTAAAAACTTTTCATAACTAATTAATTGATTGATTTTGGTTTTTACAAATAAAAACAACAATAATACAAATAATGGAAAAAGGAAAAAAAGGAAAAATTTATATCTAGGAAAAGGAAAAAAAAGGAAATCTTTGATATTGTTTATTGTTTAAACGTTTTCTTTTGTTTTTCCTTTTTTCCTTTTTTTCCTTTTCATTTATTTTTCACTCTTTATCGTCTTTGAAACGTCATCTTTTTTTTTTGTCTTTAAATTTTTTTTGAATGATTTTTAAAATGAATGAATGAATGAATGTTTCGTTAAAACGAACGGAAAATATAGATAAAACTAAAAAAGAAAGATTCTTGAATTATTTCGTTTAAAAAAAAAAGGAAATAAAAAAAAAAAAAGTTTTTCCTAGTTTTATGTTTGATATATATTTTTTTTCCAGATAGATTTATTTTTATTTTTTATCGTCATTTACTGGAAAAAAAGAAAAAAAGGAAAATAATTGAATCACGATTTTAACATTAAAATTAAATGAATAAAACTTTTAATGTTTTCACGTCGAATGTAATAATCTAAAAAAAAAGAAGAAAAGAAATTTTTTTTTTAAATTTAAAATAAGAATGAATGGAATGAATTGTCGGGATTTAAAAACATTTTATGAAACGGAAATTTTAGTGTAATCTTGGTAATATGACTGGTAGAATGTGTTGAAGGTGTTTTGGGAGCGGGAATTGGGTGTATCGCGATGATTAGGTATCAAAATGAATACTTTGGGGGGTTTCGGAGGTGGTCAAATGAATTAATAAAAGGAAAATTGGGTTAAAAGTTTTTGTGTTGGTCGATGGCGAGACGGCATTCGATTGTGAGAAATCAATATAAGCCCGATCTATACCTTAATGAGGGAAAGAAGGATCTCGTTATTATGTTTTTTGGGAAGCTTTTACGCTTGAACAGGAGCGAGAGGACTGGGGGATCTGAACGATGGCTAATTTGAGGATGTGAGGTTAAAAGATGACAGGTCGACGATCGATGAGTTTCTCTAATCACTCTCTCCGGAAATCTCGGGTCTCTCTTATTTGATTTTATCAGAGGAATATTTTCCAAATGTAACACAATGTTATGGCTCTAAAAAAGGTAAACTTCCTCTACTTCTTCCACAGAAAACGATCGGCAAATGGCCGAGTTCCTCCCCGAATACCTTGTAATCCTTCTGAATCCGGTGCGTAAATGTTTTCCTGTACCTGGAATATAAAAAAAAAAAGGAAAAGACGAAAATTAATAACGCTATATATAAATATAAAAAATTTCAAGGTTATTGGGGGAAAAGTTCATTTGTTGTGAATATAAACGATAATAATTATTTATTTATTTAAAATCAAGGTTTGATTTTTATTGAGTAATTTGTTATTTAAACCGTGTGAAAATTAATAAAAATTTAATTTGTAAAAATATCCACCAATCAAAAAAAAGGGGAAAAAAAACATTTCAACACTTCATTAAAAAAAAAAAAAATTTCCCCTTTTTTTTTTAGTTTTTCTTTATTTTTTTATTTTTAAAAAAAGAAGTAGGTATTTTTATTAAAGAGAATGTTTTTCTTGGTAAACCTAAAAAGAAAAATAGAAAAAGGAAAAAAAAGCCACAGGGAAAAAAAGGAAAAAAAATTGGAAAGAGCTTTTATCGAATGATCTTTTTAATTCATTCCTATGAAATAAATCATATCAATTTACAAAATTCATCTTTTCCCTTACTTTCACCCCCTCCCCCCCCCGGTATTTTTTGTATCCCGAAGGAATAGATAACACTCACGTTTGTTTTTATTAATTTTTTTTTACGTTTTTTTATGTACGACATTTATTTTTATTTAATTTTTTTTTTCTCCCCGTCGAGTTCTCAAAGGAATCAAAACTAATAAATAAAAATGAAAATTTTTCGTTGAAGTGTTTGTTTGTTTGTTTTTCTCTCTCTCTTTCTCTCTCTCTCTCTCTCAAATTATAATTAATTAAATTTAAATTTTATTGTAAAAGAAAAAAGAAAAAAGATTTTAATAAAGTTTTCACAGTCATTTTAATAATAATAATAATAATAAATTTTTTCTCGTTGAAATAATAGATTGGAGTAAAAAAAAAAAAGTGAATTTTCCGCTGTTTTTTTTTTTTTATTCGTCTCCCCTCGTTATTAATTACCATTTTTTTCCTTTTTTTCCTTCTTCTTCTTCTTCAAATTAATTTTTCTTTTTTACAAAAAAAAACAGAATAAAATATATTTATTATTATTATTATTATTAATTTTTAAATCGTCGCGTCGTAAATTTTTTTTTTTTTTTCGATTTTCAATTAATAAAAAAATAATTAAATACGTTCTTGTTTAAATATATTCGTAAAATGACCGTTAAAAAAAAATAAACCGGAAATTAGATATTTGAGTAATTAAAACGAAAAAGGAAATTAATCTATTTGAAAAATTATCATCATTAGTATTATTATTATTATTGTTATTATGGAAAACCGAGAGAAAAACGCAAATTAACGAGGCACAAGAGAAAAATTTTCGAATCCCGGGAATTTCATTAAAAGCAATAAATTTTTTTTTTCTTTTCTTATTATTATTATTATTATTATTATTATTATTATTATTATTATTGTACTAATAATTACCCGTATTTTTTTTTTATTCTAATTATTATTATTTTTTTTTTGGTAGCGTAAAAAAAATTTTTAAAACGAAATATACGAGAAAATGAAAAAAATAATTTTTTTTTATAATTTAAAAAAAAAGGAAAAAAATGGGGAAAACTTTTTTTTCTTTTTTTTTTTTTTTTCTTCTGCTAATAACGGCTTGGATTGAATTTTTTTTTTTTTTTTAATTAGGGTTTAATAAAAAATTTATAAAAAAAAAGAAAAACCGAAAGGTTACGTTCAATCAACCCCAATTAATTGAAAAAAAAAAAAAAAAAACGTTTTGAAATTTTTTATTTAATATTTTTACTTTGGTTTTTTTTTCTGTTAATCAAATTTAAATTTGTTAAATTTTTAATTAATTAATTAATTAATAATTGATTTATTAATCAAATAAATAAATAAACGATTAATAAATTGTTCGTAGAAATCGAAATTGAAAAAAAAAATTGTTCGTTGTTTGAAAATTCATACGAAAAAATTTTTTAAATTTTTTAATTAATTTATTTATTTTCATTCAAAGGTAATTTAAAGGAAAAAAAATTGTTTGTTTTTCCATTGATTTTTTCCTTTGTTTCTAACAAATAATTTACCGTTATAATTTTTTTTTATTACGGTGAGGTTTATAATCGTCGCTCGTAAACGTGTCGCCACATTTTTTTTTTTTTCCAATATTTTATTTATTTTTCCTCATCCACGTGTTCGATTATTATTATTATTTGTTACAACACGTGGAAATTAATAAACGAATATTTTATTTTCTTTGTTTTTGTAAAAGAGAAAAAAAAGAAATTAAAGAAAATTTTTTTTGATTCGTTACATTAAAATGCAAAGTCACGAGTTTAAATGTTAAATAAAAAACATGAATTATTCAAAAATTGTTTTCAAAAATCTCGACAAAATTTTTTTACTTTTTTGTCATTTATATATATATATATATATACTTACTCTCTACTAACAAAAAAGATTTTTGGGTTTTCTAGGTAGAAAAAAAGTAAAAAATGCTAATAATAACGCATGCGCACATCGTTTTAAATAATAATATTAATTTAATAACATTTTTTATTTTATATAATTTCTCAAATGTTTACAAATCTCGATCATAACAAAGACGTAAACAAAATAATAACGATGAATTATTATTATCGTGATTATTCTCCTTCCGTCGTCTGCTACTAACACATATATAAATTAATACATTACCAAAATACAATAAAAAAATTTATTAAATGAATTCTCGATGTGAAATCATCATCATCATCATCATGTCTCCACGTGTGGAACGAAAAATTATTATTATTTATTCGTTAATAAGTAAAAATTCAAATTAATAAATAATTAACAATTAATTAATCGTTTGAATTGCGAATAAATTAAATTTTATTATTAAATTTTTTGAATTTAAAAAGGTGTTATCGATAAATTTTTAACCTTTTAACCCTTTGTATTATTACTTTTTGTAAAAAAAAAAAAAAACCTCTTGATTATTATGATTTTGTTTTTTTCATTTGATTTATTTTAACTCTTCTTTCCCCCCCTTCCCGAACAGAGTGTGCCGTGTTGGAAAAGAGAATAACGTTAATAATAATAATAATAATAATGTTGATGATGATGATGATGATGATGATGATACTTTTTAAATAAAAAAAACTTTAAAAAAAAATTTAAAAATTTTATTAATTAAAAAAAATAATAACTTTTCATACTTTTTTTTTCTTTTCTTTTTTTTTTTTTTAATAATTGAATAAATTATTTATAACAAATAATAATAATAATAATAATGAAATAAATATTTAAATAAAATAAGAATAAAGGTAAAATTAATACAAATAATATAATTAATTAATTAAATTATATAAATCTTTTGTCGAAACTTTTCTTTTTTTTTTTTTTTAAAAGATATTTGCATTTTTATTTTTTTTTTACTTCAAGAAATTTTTTTTTCTTTTCTTTAATTAATTAATTAATTATAAAAAAAAAAAAAATTCAAATCATTTGATTTTTTTTTTTTTTTAAACAAACAGTAAAACTTTTAAGTAAACAAAAAAGGAAAATTAATAATTAATTTAAAGTTTATTTTAACTCGATTAACAAAATAATAATAATAACAATAAATATTTGTTTTTTTTTAATAAGTTTATTATTAATTATTAATTATTTTAATGAAAGTTTCGTGTGATCGTTAATCATTTTTTTACAATCGTTAAATGCATTTAAAAAATCCAAATTATCAGGATTGAGTTGGAAAGCTTTTAATAAATCGTTAAATGCATTTTCGTATAAACCCAACCTGTATAAAACGGTACCACGATTATAATAAGCAACGTCGAAATCATCACATAATTCAATTGCTTTCGTGTAATAAATTATGGCATCGTCGAAATCAACATTTTTATATTTTTCCAAACCTGTATTATTTAACATATGCGCTTCTTCCTTCCTGTAAAAATAATAATAATAGTTAATAATAATAATGATAGCAGGAAGAAGGAAAATCCCTTAGAAATTATAAACAAACATAAAATATGAGAATTAAATAAAATCCTTCCCGCCCCCCTCGAAAAAAAGAAAATGATTAATTAAAATTTAATTTTACATGAGTAAAAAAAATTTTTTAACCGCAAAAAAGAGGGAGGGAGCGGGGGGGGGAGAAAGTCAAGTTGTCAAAATAAAACATGTTGAAAAGAAAAGGAAACCTAATTTTGTTTATTTCCACGCCGTCGTCTTTTTCGAGAATATTTAACAAAAAAAAATGTCGGTGGCAATGATTTAAAAAAAAAAAAGTTTTCTAATTAATATAAACGTGAATTAATCATAGCAAAAAAAAAAAGGTTCAACCTTTTGTTTAAAAATCATTAAAAATAAATAATTTTTAAATAAAAAAAACCTATAAAATATTCATATAAAAAAAATTTTAAGTAAACTAAATAAATATTTTAAATAAGTCGTCAACCAATTTATTATTAACAAAAAAAAAAAAAAAAAGGAAAAAAAGTTGATAATTTTTGCTGTCGTTTACATATTAATAAAAAGTAAAATTGAAAAGATGAAGATTAAGTAATAATAAATTAAGCGGAAAAATTATTTAAAAAATAAACATGGAAAATTCATTCATTCATTCATTCATTCATTCATTCATTCATTCCCTTCTCAAAGGAGGAAACAGAGGAAAAAAAATTGAAAAGAATCAAAATATTATTAATTTTTATAAAACAAAAAAAACTTTTTTTCTTTTTTTATAAATTATTGACATTTATTAATTATAATCAACAGCCGCCGCCATTTTCCCTTTTTTTCGTCTGCTATCGACACATTATCCAAAAAAGAGAGAGAGAGAGAGAGGAAGGGGGAAAAAATGTAAATAAAAATAAAAATAAAAAAATTTACGTTTTAATACTAAAAATTTACTAAATTAAAAATAATTTTTTTTTTTTTTTTGTTGTATGAATTATAATTAATTAAATGCGGTTGTTTTTTAATTTAAAAACTTTTTCCTTTTTTTTGTTAATAAATATTATGCATTTAAATTTTTTTTATTAAAACATAAACAAACGAAAGAAGAAAAAAAATTAAATTTACATTATTATTTAGGTAAAGTTATAAAAATCCATTTCGGTTTTTATATAAAAATGTAAAGAAAAAAAAAAAAAATCAAATTTGAAAAAACCTTCTGGAAGCAGATTGAAGAAAATGAAAAAAGAAGAAGAAGAAGGAAAAAAAGAAAGAGAAAAAAGAAGAAAATCTTAAATTATGCAGCAAAAAAAAAAAATTGAAAAGTCGACAGGAAAAATCATGAATGAAGAAAATCAACTAAAATGCAATTTTTAAATTAAATTTATAACTTTCATTTTACATAATCTTTTTTTTTTTATAATAAAGTAATCGAATTTAATAATGATGATAATAATAATGACTTTTTGATAATGTTATCAGAAACAATTTTTAATGTTTTTTTTTGGGTATTATAATTTTTTTAAAACATTTTCACTTGAAATTTACTTTCTTTCTATTTTTTTTTAAAGTATCTGGAATGAATTGTATCGTATACACTAGAAATTTTTATTAATATTTATTTATTAATTAAAGTAAATAATTAAAATATAAACAAAAAAAGTCAAACTAATCATGTTAAATAAATGTTATTAATTCAAAATTAATTTTCTTACCCATTTAAAATTGATGAAAAATAATTTGTATTATTATTATTATTATTATTATTATTGTAAATTTAATTATTATTGTTAAATTTTACCTAAATTTTTGTAAATCATTTGTTGCAGGTTCTTCGGTTTCGAAATTCTCCATTAGAAAATTAGAAAATAAAAAACAATTTTTGTTTTGTTTTTGGTTAAATGACTACAACGTCGTAAGTCTTGTGTTATTAAGATAAATACTCTCTGTTATGAATTTGACCCCGTGTTTAACGAGTCATCTAACGGGGGATTTCCAAACTAAAACGCATCGTTTACTTTTTAACAATTAACAAAAGATGTCGCTAAAATTCTAATAAATAAATTAAAATAAAATAGCGCCAAAATGTTTTTTGCGGTCTTTTCTTCTTAATCCCGCCGCATTTTGTTTTTGAAACAAGTCGGTATTTATTATTCATAATATTTTGTATTCTCATTAATGGAGGTAAAAAAAAAAAAAAAATCATTTTCTAGCTGTAAAAATACAAAACAAATAAATTAATTAAATTTTGTTTTACTCATGTCTACCCTACTTAAAAAAAAAATTAAATTAGTGTCTTCGTATGACGCAAAGTCATATAAAAACATGACCAAGAAAACAATTAACACTTTAATATTTAGTCCTACTTAATCATATTTTAAATTAAATATTTATTACCCGTCCCCCCACTCCGCCCTCCGCCCCCGTTTATTTTACGTGTAAAAAAAATTCGTTATGAAGTAATTTTTTTTTTTTTTTCTCATAAACAATAATTATCAAGGGGGTAATTATTTAAATAATAATTACATAAAATATATTTTAAGCTCAATAAGAATTTAATTTATATTAAGTAATCATAATTATTATTATTATTATTATTATTATTAATTTTTAATTGAGTTTAATAATGACATCCAACGCGAAAAAAAAAAAAAAATTAAATATACATTTCGAAAAAATTCTTTTTGTTTTATCCCCCCCTCAAAAAAAAATGTTAATGTGCCTAATCGATACCATTCCATGGGGGTTTTTTTTTTTGAAAGGTCACAAAGATCAAATAAAAATAATTTTTTTTTTTTTTTTTTTTAGAATTTTACGGGAGTTCAAAGAAAAATACCTAAACCTGTTTAAACGCGATTAAAATTAATCCGTGAAAAAAAAAAAAAAATTTATTTATTTATTTATATCTTTCTCGTGTAAATATTTAACCGGAAGTGCACCTAAGGGAAATCCCCCCCCCCAACAAAATAAAAAAAAAAATTGCCGGGAAATTTTTTAAAATAAATTAATACCTGAAACCAAATAAAAAAAAAAAAAGATGATGATGATGAATTATTATAACGCTCACCTTCCTTAAAATAAATCCATGGATATTAAGACGCGAGAGAGAGAGAGAGGGATAGGTATAATTAATTAAAGTAATGTAAAAGACAAAGATAAAAGATATAAAAAAAAATCAACAGTTGGTCTAAGCCGTTAAGTTAGATCGTCGTGAATTCAGTTTGCCATCGGAAGTCGCGGTGAGAAGTTGTTTCGTTTGTTTCGTTTGTTCGTTTGTTTGTTATTATTATTATTTTTTATTTAAATAAAATTGTTTAAACGTTCTGGAATAATAATAAAAAAAAAACAACGTAAATTTCATTGGTTTTAATAATATTTAAAAAAAATAAAAAGTACGTTCAGGTAAGTCAAATTTTATTTTATTCATTTTATAGTTGAAAAATAAATTTTTATAATTCTGGTTTTTCTCTTTTTGTCACGGTTGTAAAAAATTTAAATTTTAGGTACTCGTTCTTATATATATATAAATAGGTATTGTAGGTATTATAGGTATTACAAAGAAAAAAGAAAAAAAAATGATGCGAAGGCGTTATTTTTTCACGCCTCGTTGATTCCATAATAAACTTTACGTTACCTTAGTTTATAGTTAAATAAAACGACAATAAAAAAACTCATTTATTTATTTATATTATTATTATTATTAATATTATCATTATCATTATCATTATTGCAGAGAAAGTGTGAAAGCGTGAGATTTTAAATGATTTTTTTTTTTTAAATCTAGAAATAGGAAAAATTTTTTTTTTATTTTTATTTTTATTACAAACTCTTGTGTTCGATTCAATTTCAATAATTTAATTTTTAATCATCATTATTATCATTATTATTATTATTTAAATTTATTTTGTTTTTAAAAAAAATTACAATTTAAATTAGGAACCTTTTTATTTATTTACTTTTCCTCTAAAAGGTATCGAAAATATGTTATTGTAATTAAAGAATAAAATGGGGGGACCTTATTCCAGTTTAGTGAGAGGGGTAAACAATAATAAAAAAAAACGATGATGACGTCATATTTTAAAAGGTAAACTTGTTGTAAATTATTTAACCGTAAAACGTTTTTCATGCCAATTTTTTTTTCCATTTTTTTTCTTTTTTGATTTCTTGTAGGTTTGAGTTGTTTAAAATTATACGAAACGTTTAAAACAAAAAAAGAAAAAGGAAAAAGAAAAAAGGAAAACTTTTTGAAAGTTTTTTTGGTTTTTCTTTTTTTTTTTTTTTCCAAGTAAATTCTCAAGAACATAAAATTGTTTACTTCTTGTTTTTAACTTTTTAACAAATAAAAAAAAAGGAAAAAAGATGACAAAATTTTTTATTAAATCAACAACAATAATAATAATAATAATTTTTACATCGAAAACTTTTCTCGTTCCTTTTAAGAATTCCTTTGAGAATATGAATTTTTTATTGAAACGTTTTTGAATTTTGATTCGGCGTCCATTTTGTTTTTTTTTTTTTCTGTTTTCTCCCGCAATCAAAATAATCTGCAATGATTTTGTTTATTTGTCTTATTATTATTATTATTATTATCATTATTATCATTATTATTATTTACCAATAAATATTTAAAAAAAAAAAAACAAAACAAAACAAACTTTGTAAAAATTTTCAAATGAATTCTTTTATGCGTACGTGTAAAATAAATTATTTATTTATTTATTGTTAATAATTTAATTATGTATGGTATAAAATTTTATTTTTTTGTTGACGGTAACAAAAACACAAACAAACAGAAACAAACAAAAACAAACACATCCCGCGCAAATGTATATTGTTTTTTAGTTTTTTTACTTTTCGACTTTTTTTTTCTTCGTCGCCATTTTGTATTATTTTTATTATTATTGTTTTACATAAATAAATGAATGAATCGAAAGGTTTAAACAAACAAAAGAATTAAAAGGAAGTATGACAAT